GGATGAAAACAATTATAATGCTTCCACGAGAATAACGTGAACTTCTGTAAAAATTGCTGGTGCTGCTTTAAATGTCCTATCGCAATACTAAACTTTTGAAAAACGTAATATTTCTAAATTTCTATGTCTTCTTAAAATAAAAACTCTATTTTCACTAGGTCCTCGCTATCGTCTAATAAATAATTTTCTAATATACCTTCTAACGGTGAGTAAACTTTGTATGTATCTAGTATATCTAGTGCCATCAAATCATTTGGTGTTGCGTGTATTTCACGTAAAAAAATAATTTCTTCGAAGTTTTTTTTTAATTTTAAACCACGTTGAAGTGCTCCCTATATAGTTATAAAAAAATTAAACTCAAAAACTAAAATCAAGAAAAAAATAAGGCAGTTACTAATGAGTAACTTAGATACTTCTAATAATCTTAAAATGCATTAATTTATTATTGTAGACGTTGGTTCCAAATTTTCCTCTAGCAAGTTTCTTAATACTGCACACTGTGATAATTTCTTTGACTTAAGCAACTTCAGAAACATGAGTATGATCAAACATATAAATAAACCAGAACTACTAATTTTTATTTATTTTTAATTATTATTATTTATTTTGATGATGATCTATTATAATAATAATTTTATTATTTTATTAATATTTTTTTTACGTTCAATTATCCCCACGTCTAAATGATTACGACCATTTGTCACTATTTATAATATATCAACTCCTGAAAAAAGGTCATATTCGTATTTCCTGCTTTTCAAAATGATCGAAATTCAAATAAAATTATATTTCATTTCTATTCTTTTTTTTTTTTTTTTTTATATCCGGGTCAACATCTAGGCATATCTTTTCTTTTCAGTTTCTAATGCTAATTTATTATAATACATTACTAATAATTTATCTTTGGTACATATTTTTTATAGATCACATAGTCCAAAAAATATTTTTCTTACCTGCATACCTTTTCAGACTCTTAAAATATTAAAAAAAAACTACCATTGGTTTTTAATATTTAAATAAATCATTATTTCAATGTGTTTTTATCAAACACGATTTGTATAAATAACGACGAAAGTGAGACGAAATAGTCGTTATCAATGTCGGTATGATTTAAGTTTGAACATACACTACACACACACACACACACACACACACACACACACATTTACATATTCACCACATATATGGAACCTAATTATATAACAGATGAGCCTCGTAGATGTGAAAACGCAGTCGATGGTGATGATATTTCGTTCTCTTATAAAAGACCGTCGTCGCCGAGTCCGGGAAAATATTTCATTATTTTCATTGACTATTTATCCGAAAGGGCTGCACTCGTTATACGCCCTTTTGATTTCATAATACTTGGACCTCCTGGGAATATAATAAATAATATATCAACACACACACGTATATATATATATTATATTATAGCTTGAGGGTGGAAGCGAAATCCCGTGGAAACTTAATTATCTCCCTATTTTTAATTTATTTATTTCCGCGTCTGTCGATTCGTAAAATGAAATCCGCGTCAGTGCCACTATTTTGCTTATCCAAACAACACAGCCAGTTGGTTGTATAAGTTTCGAGCTATGAATTATTTATCATCACTACAAATAATCAGGTGGAACGAAACAATAAGAGTCAAGGTGATAAACGTCTCGAATAAAAACAAATAGTAATAAAGAGAAGAAAAGAGGTAGGGTGAGAAAAAGAGAAAATAGTTTTGAACTTGTCTTAAAACCGATCGTTTAAATACATTATTGTGCTTATAGAGTGATTTTTTCAGTGTTGTATCCACATTTTTTTTCTCGATATTTTTTTTTTTAAATAAACTATATTTTTATAAAGTCAAAATACAATTTTTTTTTTCCAAAATATGAGATTTATTTTAACTAAATTTATTAAAACGTATTATTTTCCTAAATATATTCATATTAAAAAAAATCAGAGTTAGGATAGAACTTGTATTTATTGTTTTAACGAATGAAAAGTAGAGCAATACAAGGTACCCAAAAAAAAGTCGACACCTACACAATGATTTCAAACGATTTATTTAAAAATGAAAGATAATTACTGGTTGGATTTTTGATTTTTACATTTTCTTATAATTAATTTTGGTTCGAGATACGACGAAAAAAATTTATTGATCAATTAACATATTACGTTTCAAAAAAATAAAATAAGATAAGATATAGTAATGGCATTATTATTTTTCTACGTTAACATGTCGCATCGAAGCAGCGATTTATGTTGTAGATTTTTACGAGCAGACTTAAGTCGATGGGTAAAACGAAAATTCGACGTAAAAAAACCACCCTGTATGTTACACACACGAATAGCTTTGCGGGTGAACTACGATTTCAACCAAACCCCACGGCGGTGCACGGGATATGAATGACTCGCGGGCGTAAATAATCAACAGACTACGGCGACCACTTATGCGCTGAGGAGTCTGCGTTGATGTAGATTATTATTATTATTATTATTATTATTATTATTATTACTATTATATATTGTTGTACGTCTACGTTCAATCCCGCAGCCATTATTGAAACGAGCTTTCGTCAAACAACGAATACCTAATGTGCGAATCGTTGGAAAATGATTACTACGGACGCGGACGTTTGAGAGATCAGTGGAAAATGATTTATGTCGGCGCGCTACACCACACGGTACGGGGACACTCATTGTCACGAATATAGACGCGTACCATTGCTCGGACGATAATGATAATAATAGTACAATTATTACACGGTTACATAATAATAATAATAATAACAGTGTTGATGGAAACCCATTATCCTGACTTGCGCCGTTATCCGTTCGGCGTGTTCAAGCGAGGCACTTCGTTATTTTTTATTGCCAAACGGCGCGCGTTCGCGTCCTAAATATTATTCCGAGGCGCTCTGATTTCATCCTGATCCGTTACAAACGCTCATACAACTTATGTGTGGTGTGTACGCAACAATCGATTGTTTTACACGGGAAATACATCTGTACAGCTGATCCAATCGTACCGTTGTAATAATAACAATAGATCGGCAGTGTTTTCAATGCAATAACGGTGAGCAAAAATCCGCCGGCGGATATCTTAACAACTACCTAGTACTCGTAAGAAGGAACACGGCTGGTGCGCGCGGTGATCGATTGCTATATTATGGTTGTGTACGAATGTCGCGGTTCCTTTCCGTTTCGCCGTGTGGAACTGCACAGCACCCTTGGTTGCAATCTTGCGGCGATCTCCGTGACGGCTATGTAAATAATAATCCCTTTTTCGCTTTTGTTTCGCCCTAAAAATAACAACCATAACGGCAACAGTGACGGCCAAAGTGGTTGGGTACGACGGTGCACGCGCGAAGGTAATGAGCAGTGTGTTTGATAACGGTAAAAAGAATCCAAAATAAAACCATTTATGAATGAAATTATGTGAATGAAAACACAGGTGAAGAATCCCGTTGGCAATTGGAAATATATATAAATGTATAAAAAAAAAGTAATAGACGCGTGGATATAATATATTTATCTTCTTTACATTCTAATAGACCTGTATTTGGAGACAAAATACTCGACAGTTACAAGTAAGTATGTGGATACAACTCACTCCGTTTTAACGGATGAATGTGACAACCCTATTAAACTGTCAATGCAGTCCGTGGTATTGATAAGGATTTGAAAACGTTTATCGTCATAACTCTCTAAGGAATATAACTTTTTTTACATCATCTCGTGTAATCAATTATTTCACTTCGATCACAGTATGATTTATGTATTCATTTCCAGAACAATGGCATATACCAGTAAAGTTTCTAAAGTTCAAAAATATTACTTTCACGTTGGACATTTTATTCAGAACTCAGTAGTGATATTTTTTTATCGTCTATATCATGAAATTTTCATCTCTTCGTTAAATTATAGTTTTTTCTATTTTTGTTAAACATACATTTTCAATGCTTTTAGGTGAAGTATAATTTTCTCGATTCAGAACAGTAATACTGTAATTTATTGAATTTTACTGTTAACCATACCGAGTGAATTTTTTTTTTCACTTTAATACTTAGCATAAAAACCAAAGTATATCAAAATTAGGAATTAATTTACGGGTTCGCTCTTTTTAATATTTGTAAATTAGTAAAGTTATAGTTTCATATTCCAACCGCATTAAAATAATCCAAGTTAATTATATTTAAAATTAATCCAAAATTCATGAATAAATCTCTGAACAAAAATAATGTAAGTGATTAAATATATAGTCTGGGTTAAATGATTTCACATAAATAATTGAATCTTTATTGCGGTCATGAAAATATATTTTATTCACCATTCTAAAAAACTGTTAATGGGATAAATTTTATTATGGCTAACGATAATAACTACCCAAATTACTTTAAAGTTCATTGATATTATTAATTTATTGTATAACTAAAAATTATTGATGAGCCATAACACATTCTATATATTTCAAAGTTTTAAAGTAATTATTATATCTGGTTTAAGCTTATATGAATAATAATAGTTATATACATTTTGTTACCTACATTTAAACAATTAACAAACTATTTTAAAGCTTTAAAAAGCATTATTTAAAATTAATATATAATTTTAATATTTTAATGATTGATTGCGCACTTAAAAATAGCACAGTAAGTAATTATTAATTTTTTTGATAAACTCTATTTTATTTAACATTGAATATATATTTATAAATGTTAAAGATCATGAAATATATGAATTATTTAAAGTAATTCTATGTTAGGTATACCATTACATAGATTAAATGACATATATTTATATCAATGAATAACATTAATTATACTTTATAACCAATTCCAGGAAAATAAATTAACAAGTATTTATTAAATAATTATGTGAATAACCTACTTTTAACTTGACGTGTTATTTTTTAATAATATTGATCATTAACAATGATTTATAACCAAATAAAAGATTTAGTTTCAAAAATATTTTTTATTTATATATTTTTTTATTTATTTTTTTAGTTGTGTGTCTGGATATCTAGAGTTATTAGACTCTTTTGGTCAAGGGACAGGACCTAGAATATGTGGACAAAATGAACGATTAGCGCCTCCAGTCGTTATGTTCGCAGATCGAGAATCAGCTACATTAAATTTTCGGTAAGGATCAAACGTATACCTAATAAAATAATATGATAAAATCTACATATATTTAATTTAAGTTTCCATTGGAACAAAATGAGATATACGAACTTCTAATCACACAGATTGGTTTAGCGAATAAATATATTAAATTCATGTATATATCTAATCCAAGTAAAAATAAGATATGTTTAATATCATTGAGTATACCAACGTTAAAGGAAAAGAGGATGCTGAATAATCCCCACTAGATTTCCGCCCTTACGCGTGTTTATGACTACGTGAAAGATATATTTATATATATATATATATATATATATATATATATATATATATATATATAAATAAGTAAGACTCGGGAAAAATACAAAAAGAAAAAAGGAAATTATTTTTAAATACAAGTTTTTTTATAAAATAGGTGTACGTTTCAATATAATTTGATTTCTTCTTTAAGGTATAGATTTACATTACGCTAAGAAAATAGTTATATTGTAAAATAATATGGTAACATTGTAATTCAATAATACTTTTTATATAATATGCATGAGTAAAGTCAAACATTTATTCATGCTGCAAATAAAAAATAAATGTAAAAAAAAAGTAAAACTTTTGAATTTAAATTTTCCTTACAAGAATCAAACAACAGAAATATTAAGATTTGTAAAAAATAAATAAGTGTATTGATTGAATGGATTATTGCATTTAGTTTAAATAATAGTAATGCCGAATCCATAAATTATGATCGAGAATACTATTTTATTTCATTTGGGTATTAATATAATTTCTTCACTACCGGATGAACACAATTAAATAATTTTATTTCTATCTTTATAAAACTGTGATGTATTATATATTTTAAAAAAATCTAGAGAAGCATTTTGATTTGTATATTCATTATGTATTATTTTAACTACCTTAAACACCTAATACTTTCTAGGTATGTTTTTCGATGAAAACGATGGTCATGATTCATTGGTATCATATGATAGAAATTATGAAAATATTTTAATATTGAAGGTCATCTTGCTATTTTATATGTCTTAATTTTAATCCCTTTCGTTTTGAACAACCATAGTTAAAGTATTTTCGAATATGAACATAAAACTTCAGTCACCTCATTTTATCTTACTTGACTAAATCTTTAGTCTGTGTATTTATAACATAAGATAAAAATAAATAAAAATGTAAATGTGGTAGAAAAAAAGAGAAAAGGTTAATTTAAAAATAAGACAATAAAGTGGTATACTGACACTACTTATTCTATTATTAAACAAACAAACATTTAAATTAAACAAAGTATATCAATGGGAATACAAAAAAAAAAAGTTTATCCATAAATATTTTTAGACCAAGTTATTCATATTGAGAATATATTATTTTTTATAATATCTTATGACAATTCAAATCAAAACTGTAGGGTATTATTTACATATTTTTATTATATTTAACTTTTTTTTATTTGAATTCAAATCTTCTTCAATTCGAAATCTTTGTGAAATATTATAAATAGTTAATAATAACCGACCAACCGATCCCAAATAGTAGGGAGAAAGGCGAAAAAAAAAGAAGAAAAACAACATCTAAAATCTAGAGTTACGACTTGTATTTCTTTAAAAAATACTGTGACACATTTTCCATCATTCTGAACTATTTAAAACATAGTTACTACCTGCAAATTGTAATATAGAAGGTTGATTGGAAGTAGTATAATATAGTGATGGGCAGGAACGACTACTTGATACTACCGATTATTAGTCGGTTTTCATCACGTACAACCAACTAATTATTCGACTAAAATGTTTAAGACCAACAAAAAAAATATATGAAATTAGTCGACTAATAATTATTGGCTAAAATTAGGAACTGATAATTCAGTAATTTTGAGAAATTTTAGTCGTATTTTTATTTTAAACTAGTTAAAAAAAAAATACCGATAATGACACTTACGTCATAAACTACAAATTTAAAATATATTTAATACCCAAAATTCATTTAAAACAGTTGTTAATTTGTAAATTTTGATTTATACTAATTTATATTACTCTGAAGTAATGTTTAAGTTTTTTAAGTTTTTTGTTATATTATTATGTTGAATAAAATAATTCTGCTAAAAGTTTTCAATCAGTCCAATAAAAACGAGTTGAATAAAAATTATAAGTCAAATTATAAAAATTAAAAATAAGTAAAATAATAATAATATAAATTAAATATAAAAATTAGTCGAAGAATAATAATAACTAGTCGAATAATAAAAATTAGTCGAAAATAATAATAACTAGTTGAATAATAAAAATGTTCGAGTAACTACATTAGTTATTAGTCACTTTTACCTATCACTAATATAATATAAAGTAACTCAGAAACGTACTTTTTCCAAAGATCACTTAATTTTCACTTGAACAGTTTTAGGTCAAAAGCCACATCTAAATATTAAATTCTACGAAAAGTCAAACATTTTACATTTTAAAGCATATGTTTACCAAAGATTATATCAGATGACTATACAGCCATGCCCACATCATAATATTGGTAGGCAATATATACAATAATTGCTATAATTGCTATGGTCATTGTAAAATAATTACTACATTAATTTACAGATTAATCTAGATGCAATATCAAAATTAAATACTGAGTAAATTAGTATAATTACAATAACAATTTAGTATCTTATTATATGAAATATAGTATGTAAAGATATATATCAACTCAATGTATAAGTTCTAAAGTCCTATGAAAACGAAATTGTATAAATGTGTAAAGTCTATAACAGAAATGTTTCCCAGCCTTATGACCTCACGATACCATAATTTCAACTTATTTTCAGCCGAGGCACACTTGACACTTCAACCAATATTATTAATTTATTATACTAATACTATAATAATTCAATAACGGTAAATTATATAAGTCTATACCTTGAAACTGTGTGTTTTTTTAAGGTTAAGATATTTGATGTAAAATTATATTTAATTTAATTATAAATTTTCATTTTATTTATGTGAAAAAACAGAAAATGGTTTATTTAACGTACAATTTTACAGTATATAAACTTAAAATTTTATAATTTTATGCTAAATGCCAATGAATCTAGTGGAAAATTTAAGTCACTTATTTGCGATAAGTTTTTTTGGTATTTTGCGGCACTCCTAAAGATAGCTCACGCATAACCAAAAACACAAAGTGAAATTCATCATCAAAAATAAACATAAATGTAATACGGGTTCTACTCATAAGTTCCATGATATTACGAGTATAACAATTAAAGTTAATAATTAAAGAAATAATTTAAGTAAATCAAATCATTATACTTAAAAATATATCTTAATCATATATATCATCTTAAACTATATCTAAATAAATTCCTTGCAGTTTAAAAAATTATTTAGAGACATTGTTTTCACTTTTTTGTTCATTAGTAAATAGAAAATCTCTATTATAACAGAAAAACTTTATCAAGTAATTTATAACAATAAGTAACAATAGCCCGGCAAATGATTCTCTTGAGACTATAGGAAACCAAGAACTCTTTAACGAATTTTGATCACTTCAACTAAGAATAATAGTAATATTGTTTTTGATCTTCGTCAATTATTGAATTTAATAAACGATTTAAAGTGGGGTTCACCCAGTCAAAGAAATTATTTTTCCTAGATAAATTTGTTTAAATTATGTTGGTTTTAGTTTTTCTTAATCTATATACTCAGAAATTATTTTTATACTTGATGTAGAAACTATTTACTCGCACATTTGTATGAACAATCACCAACATTATGCACCCACCAGCTTTCTTTCTCCTACGAAATTGCACATGCTATATTTTCCATTTGTTTCTTTAGTGATAAACATCAACTGGGATTGGACAGTTTCCCACAATCGAGAAAAAACTCTCTGCCATAAGACACATATTACATTCGCTAACTACTCGTATTGTGTTCTCCATATAAGATGATAATATCTTATTGCAAACATCATAAAAACGATACCATTGATAGTGAACCTATTATTCCTGTTGGCTGCATATTTTTCATACACAGTTGTCTTTGAACATTTTTTACTCAATTTATTTATTTTTTCTATCCCTTTAGAATCAAATGAACAAGGCTAAAATTCAATATATTATTAATTGAATATCAGTAAATACAGTTGAACGTATAAACATTAACATTTAATAAAAATATCAGTATTGTACGTAATTTATCCACTTACATATTACATCTTACTGAACACTAACACTGTCGTGCACTATATTATATTACGTTGGTTACAATATAAATATTATGAGTATATAATAGAAGTTGTGCAAACCTTAAGTTAATTCACATTATTCATAAAATTAAATTTATAAAAGTGTTCCGTGTGTTTTTATTTTAAATTACAAAGGCGTACGCATTAACATGATGGTAATGCACTTTAATTAATTTTATATATTATATTTCATCCAAGAGTATTACGTATTTAATTATTAACGTTAACAATTTTCTTCTAACAACGTATTAAAAGCGATAGTATCATCTTTATTAACGATGCCATAAATTTAAGTGTACGCTGAACGTCTCTAGAAGTTTTTACTTCAGTACCTGTGATGCTTATTTATTTATTTTTCAGCACCCAGTATACTTCCATAATCGAATTGTTTATTATTATTATTGTTTTTATATTAATGATGAAATATTTAATTCATTTTATTGATCGAAAAACAAAAAACAAATGTGTAATGGAAAAAGGGTGGACCGATATTAAGGTCAGATTTTGAGCTGATGGGTTTTTGCGGTCGGTTACTGGTGCGTAGCCAACGGTCCGTTCAAGACAGACAGACAGACGCTGACATTAATTTTCTGTAGACATACGAGCCTTCCACCCCTGACCAAAGACCTCAACCCTAGATTGACTTTCCCTCGATTTGTAATCCAAATCGCTTCACTGTAATCATCAAAAAGTCTGAAATTCGAACACATGAAAACGATTTATCGACTGGTCTCCATCGTAGTTGTCGAGCCGAACCGCATATCTACTGTATCCTTTTGGCCAAGGTTTTTATTCCTCTTATAAACTATCCTCTTTTATGACAGATATAGATCACTCAGTCGTTTTAGCTTGGTAAATATTAGCTTTGTGAAACGGAATAGCATTTGCTTTTATTACAAATAAATATATTATATGTATATTTGTGAACTCTTAAAATAGTCACGCACGAGTTTATGCCTGGCTACATATCCGTTTGCGGATAGTGTTTAATGACAACAATGATGCTCAACTTTTCGTATCTTAGTATGATAAATAGTTTCACATTGGTAACGAATATGTTTCGAAGGTATATTAGAAACAAATAATTAAATAGTCTTATAAACTTCCAATATTTTGAAATTCGCAGTAATTTAAAAACATTCAGAATTATAAGTTAATTCAATAATTTATACACCCCTTATCTCTTATTATAAAACTATAAATAAAATATACCTATAGAGTATATAATTAAAAATATTCTATGTTGAATAAGTTTCAATACTAACCTGTACATTTCTTTATATATAAATATATTAGATTGAATAAACTAAATAAATAGTAAATAATATTAAATAATATATATCTATGTACATAAACTTATATTTACTTTTTACTATTTATATTTTAAAAATTAAAAATAGTATCCTCATGACAGTTAAAGGATCGACTTTAAATCAATTTTTTATATTAAAAAATAAAATAATTTTCCAAAAATTGATATGAAATTTAAAAAGAAATTTTCTCATAAAAATAAAATAAATACATAATAATTAAAATTTTTTATTTTCAAAAATGTTTCATTATTATTGTTCAAAACATTATATTAAAATTAGCAAAACGTTAACAATATTGTTGTTGTTATTCTATTTCAGAATTGAAGAATCCACCTCTAGATCACAATTTTTAGCATATTTTAGCTTTACATCATTAACAAATGTTCAGGGTCTAGCATTTAGGCCCAAAGGAGGCAGAAGGATAGAGCATACAGGTAAGTCTATATGTATTTTAATTAAATTGCTTGGTCTTGGAGGGTCTGTTGTCTCATGATCTCATAGTACATGTAATATTAGCGTAGTTACTACCTAGGTTACATTAGCTAATTCCAAGTTGAAACTTCGGCCAAACTGTAACACGTACACATTTATGGCTCAAAAATTCCGGGTTAAGCACAAAAGGAATTTCATCGTACATGTATGTCTTCATGACTGTGTGCAGTAATATATTTCCAAAAGTGCAACGTAAGATTAAAACTGTTTTTATCGTACATGTACATCTAATGACATTTTCTGTTTATTATAATTAAATTCTACTTCTTATAATATGGAATAAAGTTATCGAAAAATAGAGAAAAAAAATATCAGTGTCATTAGATACTGTATGATACACATAATACCATACATTTTTATTTTAATAATTTTGTGATTAATATTATGAAGAAAAAAAATAACTCAATATCTTTTAGCAACAATAAAACTTCTATTTTGTTTCTATCTGGGTACTTTACAAATGGCTGAATTCCCCAAAATATCGTGTTATAATATCACTGGGGTGTATAATATTATTCTGAGTTATAACAAAGAAATATTATGGCCACACATAAATGCAATTTAATATGATATATTGCCGTAATATTTTACCCGAATCATTAATTTTTTACTAAACGTTAACATGCACACCAACCGAGATTCTGATTCAGACATCTGTTTTCAAATAATGCTTTGTGTTCAAAATGGTTCATTAAGTACGCCTGATATTAAGTAGTAAGTTAATGGAGTTTCTATTACCTTGCCAAAAATATCATTCACACTTAGTAAGTTACTCTAATACTAGTTACATGTATATTATACGTTAATGTGCTATATAAATGCCCTTACACATTTTTTTTATCTACATGTGTAGTAAATATTATTAATCCGTAGTATTGTAAATGTGTATAATGTCTATTTTTTATCGTGAATACTTTTAATTAATTTAATCATATTTGCAGTAATTTTCCCCTGATAAATTGTTGTATTAATAGTAAATGCCTTGTTTGAATAAAAAAATCTATCAGTCCAGAATTATAACAAACTTATAATAAAATGGATATTATAATTTATTAAAAAACCAATTTTTAATAAACACTAAAATAGTTTCAATCTTATATTTATATTTAAAACAATTACATACAATAAAATCTAAGTACCTATATGCAAATAAAATGTAAAATAAGACATGATTTTTATAGATCTAGAATTCTGGTAGAATAACATCTTTTTACAAGTATGTATAATAGAACAGTAAACATTGTGATACGAATTAGGGTTAATAATATAAATTAAAAATAAAATTATATATTGTATATTTTATATTTTTCAACGTCATAATGAATAAAAATGTATGAATTTAATAATTATAATAATTACAGTTTTTAACATTATTGTAAAATTTAATGCTTTACATATTTTTATATTTTTATTAATAAATCATAAAATTGAATAGTCAATTGTTAATAACTACTAAAAAATATTGATTTAAAACCAAAGTTATCGAATTACTATTATTAATATTGATGTATCAATCGAAATTTTGAATTGTATTTCTTCTTTACATACATACTATAATAGGGTTTTTAACATTTTTACAAAATGTAAAATGTCCCATATGAAAAATTTAAATAAATTATTATAAATTTATATTTTATTTAGGTAATAAAAACTGAAAATTGTGATGTATATTTGAAAAAATTAATAACTGAAATTGAACTGCTATATTTGGTGTAGGTAAAATAGTAATTAACTTCCACTAAAACTTGGAACAAGCTGTTAGGTAGTAACAAACTATATAGAATACAATTTTAATTAATATAACTGTAACATAGGTTATCACGTTTCGTTGTAAGTAATAACGGCGAACGATATAGGCAATTTAGCTACGTTTATGCAATTGATTACCTCAATTTGTTTTTACAGTATGCGATTGGTTGTATCAAGACTTTTCCTGCAACAAAGACTCCTGTACGCTTGCCAGTCCAGGGTTTCCCGGCATTTATGGTACAGACCTTTACTGCAAGTACCATATAACAACAAGTTCCGTTCACACTAAAGTTCGGCTCCAGTTTCTTACATTATCGTTACCACTCAAGTAAGCTATAATTATTAATAATTAGTAAACGAATTAATATTTAACATTTATTCTATATATTTTATCACCAAATAATTGACATATCACCGATTCTACTTTATATGCGCTATTAATTTATGTAATATTATATAACTACGTTTAATGGGCACAACAGTTTTAGCGAAAGCCTTATTCTATTTTTTCAAAACATATAAAAATAATTATCCGTGAAATGTAATATCGTATTTTAAAATACATTTAAATTAATATTTTTCATTCTCATATTCTGTATGAAATCAATACAATATATATATATATACATATAAAAATCTGTAAAGTGTCGCGGGCGACCCTCGAAATATGTGAAAACATATATAACGGCTTAGAAATATAGAGTTACTCGTATATTATAGAATTTAAATTGAATATTCTTAATTTAAAACACGAAATTTCATATGATTTTTAGGACAGGATTGAAAATGTTTAAGAATTGTATTTGTTGAAAGAGAAAACGCGTTCTACGCCACCGTTCTAGTCGAATCATGCAATGGGCGGTTATCTATCAGGTTAGCGTACCACTGCGTTGCGCCATAGTCTTGATGACGAATCGATATCGTATACAAGGAAAATTTAATTTTCCTAATAACATTCAATTGATTACATTTTTGAAATTATCTTATTAGATGGCTTATCTGTGCCCAAAGTAATTGTGTTTAAAACAAAAAACTATGCAAATCGGTCCAGTAGAACTTCAGATATAACCGTCACAAAAATCACCTTTCATTTTAATAATATAACAGGTTTCGAGCGTTACGCGAAAAAGGTAATAATCGAAAATGTTCAATGCTCGAGCAAAAAAAAATCTGAACGCTATATAAGATGTTTTCATATAAAAAACGAATTTAAGTTTACTTAGCATTTAGTATATAGCTACTATGCATAATTATTTGATTTGTACACCTATGTGGACACATGCATAACATAGTAGTAAATACAATTTAAATAACCAGAATTAAAACTATGGTACATAATACGTAAACATATATTTGATACGAAACGATATTCACCAACTTTGATTTGAAATAAGCAAGGTTATATTTCATAATATATATGATGATTTTTTAAACATACTAATCTTTTATTTTATTGTACTATTCAATTTGATAAAATCATATTATTAGTATCTATTTTTTTTTTTTCGTAAGTCTAATTATGATTGTAGTATTTGGTAAATTTCATTAACATTATTATATTCAGTTACGAGATATTTAGATTAAACTTGGTCGTCTAAATACTACAATTCTAGGTTGATACAATAAAATAAATTAGATAAATTTATTTATTATTTTATTATTATATAAGTACACAGACATAATAGTGAATTAAAAATTATTTCATAATAACTTAATGCTATATTTATTTTAATATTTGAATTTATTTTTATGTTTTTTCATTTAAAACCATAATTTAAACATCACAGATAAATCATCATTGTATAAACCATTAATAAAAATGGTAATAAAATAAATCGTTACGTTTAATTTTTATAAGTGTTTTAAAATACAACGTAAAACATTCTGATGAAATTTAACCGGGCCATAAACATCTATAAAATCAATCCCCATACAAGTTTATTCGACGTATAACTCAAGTTGAATTTAGTTTTGCGGATGTTTGTTAGATTGCGATTTAACGTGTTCATCGAATTTATATATGTAGATCGATTTCAAATCAGTAATTTACAAAATATTATTCAGTTAATTATACTTTTCTGGATGTCGTGATTCTGAGATTTGTTGATGACGTACAAAAAAATAAAAAATAAAAACAAATTCATATGTACTATTATAGTATTTCATAATATTATCTGACTTTACAGATGGATTTTTTGGTTTAAATTAAAATATATTAAAAACCGTGATTCTCGCCCCAACTGTTTGGGACTCAAGAGTGCATTAAAACAATCGTGAGTGAAATGACTCCGAGCCACTAAACACTGAAAACGTACTCGACGGTATAATTAATCCGAACTCATACACAAACAGTCATACGTACATAAATATATATATATATACGTGCGCGTGTCACGTTTGAATGCGCGTGTGTGTGTGTGTGTGTGTGTGTGTAGGAAACGAACAAAAGGACGAGGGGTTAAAGTTAGAAGAAACAAGAAAGGGATCGTGGAGTTTACGTACGAGAACGGACGTTCAGGGAATAATATTCCGAGCGGTAGCATGGGGAATGCGACGACCAATCCACGACAACCCGAAGGAAACATAGTTCTCCGCGCTCCGGGGGGGCGTCGTTGTAGTGTAAGGGCGTGCGCGCGCGCGAGTGTCTTCTGCGGTCGGTAATCCATGCGTGGCTGCCGGTGCTGAATTCGCCCCGGCCAGCCGCACGTAAAATCACGGTTGGCTGGTGCGTTCAGGTGCGGACGGAAATACGGTTCAAAAATTAACGTTCCGTTACGCAAAGGTTATCTTTCCTCTCCGCGTGCATTTGTGACCGCAGTACATCCAAATGGACGGAGAAAGAGACGGAGAGAGATCGGCACTCGAGTTCGAGTCGTACGATTATTTTTTTTTTCAAGTTTTTCGTGTCGTATCGGTTTTGAAACGGACCCCTGGACGAATGTAGTCCATCTGAAACGTGTGCGCCCGGTCGGCGTGTCTGCCGCACGTACCGCCGGGCCCAGGGCGACCCGCGCACCAGGACGACGATTGATAAAACGTCGACGCGGAAAAGTCCAACGAAACGTGACATAAATAATACAGCGCGCGCGAGACAACGCCGCACTCCCACGCCCTCACGCCGCTCCGCTGCGATCTGCACCCCGAGCACACCCGAAAACCGCACGATTTCCACCCTTCGGCGCAACGGCGGTCGTCGTCGTTTATCATCGGGTCGCGCGCACAAAGAAAGCCGCCGGCCGATCGAATACGGCGATTATAACGATAATAATAATAGTATGTGAATAATAATCCGAGATGCAGGTGGACTCGCGAGAACCGCGTCTCGTGCACGTGCTCGCGAAACCCGTCGACCTGACCCTGCGGCAGCACAGTTACGAGCGATTTTATTTTTGCACTTTTGTGGTGGCAAAAATGTGATTTTTACCGTTTAAAACATTCTTACGTGTTTTCATTCTTTAATAATTGTTATTGTTTGTGTCGGTATTTCAAAGCCTCTCTTTTTTTTTTAACCTATAGGAGTTAGAAATCGTCGAAAATTAATCGCGGTTTTAAACTGAAATCCAATGATATCGTGTTTTCTAACAAAATTCTAACAATCGAGAGAATCAGATTCAATATTTTTTTTTCTACGATCACTTAAAATACGAAAACGTTGTATAAAAAGATAATGATGAAAGCCGAACTTAAAATCATTCGACGTATCATTGTACTATGCTAAAGTAAACGAAGGACAAATACTGTCCTGAATATCGTCGTTCTCTAAGGTTCTATTAATTTTGGAACGTATATTTTTCAAATTATGCCGTATTTTTTTCTGAGGCACAGATAATTTTGGACGAGTTTTTTTTTACTAAATCACCAATCATTCATGTTACAGGGGCTGGAGTGTTATATATTAATATTTGTAATTATTGCATAAAACGAACACAGTGAAACGTCACTAAATACAAACTGATGGTAACAACTTACTATTTTCATTGATACTAGACTATTATAACACTATTACTAAATTTAATAATATTATATAAAATATAAAATTAGAATTTCGAAGGAATTCAAACTCAATAACAATAGCTTTCTTATCACCCGGACGCGGGCGAACGGGACCGACTATATTCCATAGTACACGTACGCGCATGCACATGTCAATCCTTGCACTCTCAAAAATACTTTTGTACACTCGCAACAATGAATATTGCTAATAAGCTGGCGAAAAATTAACATACTTCTGGTAATCCAATTTCAATTTTTTTAAATTATTTTAATTCGTCAGCTTCTTTTCTATGATTTGTAGGAAACAAATTTTGAAAATTTTTGGAGAGTTTACATGGTACAGTCCCTAATAACTTTACTTACTTTCTCAAAGTTAACTTGTACTTTAAAGTGATAACAAGACAAAAAAATAAAAAAGTTTTTCCTACAGATCATAGAAATGAAGCTAACAAATTCAAATTAGTATTCAAAATTAAAATTGGACTATTAGAAATATGTTTATTTTTCGCCAGCTTATAGGTCTAAATGCATGAAAAATCCAATCGTTTAGAACCGCCTTAAAGGTAAAATAAAACAAAAATATGAGCGATGAGACGCGTTTTATAGCACAACGGTAACCCACACTCACTTTCCATTTCCACCTTGCACCGGAAAAATGAGAGGTCACACGTTTCGTCTTGACACCTCATACCTACCTATATTTATTTTTATAGTGTAATTGGTTGCTTACTAGGATCACTCTCCTTGCTGAACACATCCAGCTTTGCCCTCATGTCCCGCTACCAGTATATTCTAAGAATATGTTGGAAAAATAAAATAATAACAATTTACTAATATATAATCTTATATGTATAACACATGTTATGATATTCAAACTTATTAAATTATTTTTTTATTTAATCATTAAAATATAATAAAACCAAATTGTTCCTCCGTATTCTAAGTGGGTAAACATTATCCCATTTTCACCTATAACCCTTCGCCAATGCTTAAATTTTATTTTTAATTTTCAATTATTTACATAACATCTTGTTTTTGAATTAGAAATTCATAAAATCAGATGTATACAACATTATTGGTTATATTTATTTATATATATATTATATATATTAATATATATTATATTCATTTATTCTCACATAAAATGTAAGATTCACTAGTCATAAAATTGATCAATGTTTATGGTATTTTACTAAAACTAGTCGCACGTAATACATAGTAAAATAAGCAACAAAAATTTAAATCATAACTTAATATGTACGGAAAGTTAACGAACCGAGTAAAGTATTTTCCGTTCCAAAACTGTGCTCAAAAATATAGCTTACATACGATTCGCACTTTTTAAAATGGCTAGTCAAAAATGTTTTCGTTTCGGAAGAAAATGTGCCTGTTGCACAAATAATACTGTTTGTATAGAATGCCACAATACTGCTCATGAATATAGTAATATTATAGACATTCATATATAATATTATTTATTGAAAACCAAATAAAAATATCAGTATGCATTTTTGGAAATTCAGATATAGTCACGTAAGGGTTAGTTTCACACCAAATATTTTTAAGCAAAACTTCTGAGGACAACTTTAAAAATAAAGTTATAACTTTATAATTGAGATATTTCATATCAATATACTCGCAATCTTATTAAATTTTCGTTTCTCATACAAACCTCTAAAAAGTCTAAAATTTCATTTGCACAAACTTTTCCCATTCAAAATGTTTTTAATAAAATTCTATTATGTGGCTCTAAATAGAATTCAACATAGCCTATTCTCAAAAGTAATGTATTATGAGACACATTAGGTACACATATACGAATGTTAATTAATTTAAAAGTTTAAGCTAAATCTAACTACATAAAATAATTTGCGTTTAAGTCTTGGTGACAATAAAATATTATTAAAGAGATTAAAAACAATAATATTGTTACTTTTTCTTATCTTTTTTTTATAAATATTCTATAGAAGTACTCTGACGTTATCATTTTAAGATATTTAAAATCCGAAAGTCAGTTGATAATCAACAAAAAGTTTAAATGAAAAACAAATTAATAAATAATTATCGTAGATTTATTTTGCTTCTATTATTCGTTACACGTTACACAAATTCTGAGACACCAACAATAGCATTTATTTTTATTTTATATAATTTTTGTTCATACGAAAATTATTTACAAAATAACTTGTATTTAGAATAAAAAAAAATTCTTTAATAATCCCAGTCAATTAAAAAATGATATATTTTACTTCTTTAAATTGATTTTCTATATTATTTTTATAAACACATCATCTACAATCTCCTACAGTGATTGCAAATGTGATGAACTTTCTTCCATTTGATGTTTAAAATATAAAATCAATAACGACTCCTCTAACCTAATTGAATATTTTCAAATTTATAACCAATTCACGTATTACCTTTGTATAACTATTATAAAGTAATAAAACCAAAATCCTAATCAACATTCTAGATGGAAAAGTAATTTATTGATTTAAATGAATTGATTATTGAAAAGTTAATGAATTTAATATTTAATTTCATAGTTAAATTAACGAAATTATTTAACAAAAATAATTAAACCAAATTATCTTCTAAAATAAATCCAAATGTTTTCTCAATTGTTGTAATATTTTATTACCGTAAATCATTTTTTGAAACTTCCCAATTCATTTTTTTCACTACAAAAAAACTTTAAAATCTTGTATTTAATTTGCATGTCATAAGTATTAAAATGTAAATAACGCGTGGAAAAGGAGGGTTTGAATCTTGATCTTGGTTGGATTTTTGCAATTTTTCTCAGTTTTTCTCAATTATTCGAAAAATTGCTGAGCAATTCAAAAGAAACCTCCATTTGTAATCTAATTTTAAATTATTATTCCTTTTTAATATTTGGTGATGATTGGAACAATCTAAAATCATGAATTTAAACATAAAAGAAACATAAATATGATGAAATCAACATTCCTCGTTTCACTGAGATTCTAAAACTGTACAAAAACATATCATTAGTTTGTGTTTGTGGTTCGAATTGGGAAAATGTACATACCTTATAATATTCCGTATTTTCCATAGTACACAAACATAAACACACACATTTGTATATATATTTGAATGAAAACGTGATGTTTACAGCGTCAAGTAATTAAACAAATTAAAATATGTTATAATTTTTGGCATTTAAAAACGCTATTATATACATAAACAACTTTTTGTAGAAAAAAGATACAACAAATCTAAGGTTGAAGTTAAAGTTGTGAAGAAAGTAAAGAGTTCTAAAAATTCTATGCAGACGTTGACAAATATGAAATAGTAGCCTCTAAACTAGAGTTTTTCTTGTAAACTCACAATTTTCCAAACGAATTGTGGCTTTCTCGGTTAAAAAGCTTTTATCCGGTTGACAGGTCATTAACAAACGGTTAGTCTGTGATAAAAATGTTTTCTGTAAGTATTCTTCCTTCTTTTTACATGTACATATATATATATATATATTTTTTTTTTAAATTTATTTAATATAAAAATATCCTATGTCGTCAAAAGCTTATCGCTAGGATAAAACATTAAACACAATGTTCTTAAACGGTTCTTTTGGATTAGAATAAAATGCACATACTACTATAACGGGGGCTTCATTTAAGTTTTATGCATACTATACTTAAAACACACACACACACACACACACACACACACAGGCACATATACTCGTATATGTGTGTGTTTATATAGGGTATTTATAGTCAGTGTTTATTTCAGGAGGTAGCCAGGGGATATTAACCCCCCCTGCAATAAAAATGTATACCCCAGAAAAAATTGTATTATTTATTAATTTTTTACTCCTATGGCATACCATATACTACATATCTAAATTTACATAACCCCCCCCCCCCCAGGAATAGAAGTTCTGAAATAAACACTTTTTATAGTTATAGTAAGCACTTGAAAACCTGTAATTGAATGTAATAACTATTTTGCGATTAATAAAAATAACTTATTACGAACATTTCAATATTTATTCTAACCAAATAGTAGCACTACAGTTATCTATATTCTGTATATCCTATTAAAAATCATATAGGAACATAAATCTTATAAAATATTAACACAGCAAATACTGTTATATGATTACGTAATAATTTAAATACATTCAATTATATATTTCGATCGCTAAATCCACAAAACGTGTGGTCTTTATTTTTCTACAACAATCATATTATTTTTCAGCCATTGCGGTACACACTACATAAACGTTTACCAAGGTCCGACATCCAATAGCCCTTTGCTGACAACGATATGCGACAAAAGCAAAAAGGACCATACGTTTCCCGGGCCAAATATGCTTCTAGAGTTCAGGTAAAACGCGAAATTGAATATAATCGCAAAAATAAAACACCCGCAATAAAAAAAAAAAAAAAACAGAATCTCGGTTCGAATCAGAATTAATATTTAAACGTATATTTTTATCTGCTTTTTTATATATTGTGCATTTAAACATTTTGTTTTGATGTTTCTTATTTGAAATACGAGTTTTTCCGTCACAGGAATCGAGATATTAATACTATATTGATTATCATTGTAATATAATTATATTATTTTATATTTTGCATAACGTTTTATTCTTGTCGTCCATAGGGCCGGTGCCGCGATCCCACCGTACGACTATACCGGTTTCGTGGCCACAATCGAGTTCATCGACAACGTCGTCACGACACCGACGAGCACGGCGGCCACGTTAGTGATCTCTCCGTACCCGGCAGCCGCCGTTCCCAGTAAAATTAAAATAACGACAAAACAGCGGTTTCCGGCAATCGTATTGACGCGTATGGTATGTTTGTTTGCAGGGATCCCGTCGAAGAACGACAAGGCGTGCGAGATGACGATCAAATCGACCGACGTCAAGTCTGGACATTTCGATTTGCGGGGCTTGCAGAATTGGAAAACAAACTGCACCATTCGTTTCGAGGGGAAAGAACCGGAAATCGTGCACATATCCCTGTTCAACTACGTACTCAAGTGAGTGCCATTAAGACTTACCTCTCGTAGTCATCACGTTCCTATTTCCAACGTGTGTTATCGCTCTTTTGTAACAACACGAATGATGATCAATCGATAATCATCGTCTTTGTTAATTGTTTTCCGCCAATTCAAACAGTTCGATGCGATCAAACATGCCGCGTAGAAATAATATATAATGCGCGTGCAATTTCACGTGTATAATATATATTATTTCGTATACATTGTAAATGTATTTTTCGAACTGATATGGGTAAACGTACATACGTATCATATGGAATAAATGAAATACTTGATTTCTTGATTTTAATTCAATTCACAGATACTATTAACTACTAGGTGTAATTTCGATAAATAAGTGGTTGATATTTGTACATACAAAAAATGGACTGATATCATAATCGATACAGTTAATCGATATGGCAATCCAACCACAAACTGATGTATAAAAATAAAACAATTATCAATTCAACATTCAGAAGAAAAAAAAAATTTTTTTAATTATTTTCGATTATTCTACTGCGTAAATAATAAAAACTATTTTTTTTTTTTTTTTTTGAACAATTTATACATTTTTATTATATTCCAGAGCCAGTTCTTGTCAATCATTCATAGACATTTACGACGGTCCAGATACAAGGTCAAAAGATATTATTAAACGATTGTGCAGTCCTGTAGAGAATCATGCTAGAGATACAAATGGCAGGCAAGTTTGACAAGAAAATTTGATTTAAGTGTTTAAAATATTTTTTCTATCTCTACAAATATTATGTGTGCTTTATTTCAATGGTAGGTTCCGCGAAAGACAGATGTTTGTTTCGTCAGGTACATATATGACGCTTTTCGCCCGCAGATTGATGGCTAACACGCAAGACGTTGAAACTGAATTTTTGGATGGTGCCTACAGTTTCTTTAATGGTTCGTAATTCTTATAATTATACATCATAATACTTAATCAAAAATTGCAATTTAAAATATATTTCAAACATAAAATGTTTTCATTATTAAGTATTAGAAAGAGGAACATTACAACCAGACACGTTGTGTGATGTGAACTACAATGGTTTAAGTAGTTCATCTAGAGGAAGATTGAAACATCCTGGAACTGAACAAATATTTTGGAATGTTGAAGGACAAATGAGATGTTCTCAAAATCTAATTCCAGCTGCTAATCAGAGCATAAGTATCAAAGTAAGATTCAATAATTGCATAATAATTTATATAATTTTTAATATATGACCAACTTACGATTCAATAATAGTTTTATTTTTTCAATCAACTTATATTTTCCTTTTATAATTTAATAACATATACATTATAATCATATATTATAATCTATTGAAACTTCAAATAAATTTTTTAAATAAAATAAACTATCAAGTTATAAATTTAAACATGATGGAATTCTGTCATTATGTTTTATAACAAAACTAAGTAATAAATAACCTTAAAATTAGTGAGTTGTAAACGATTAAAAGTTATTAATTATGTCGCTATTTAGTTAAACTACTTAAAAAAAATTATATGGTTTTTAAAAAAATGAAATGATTCAAGATTTATAATATTTTTATTGCATTTAGCTGAGTAAGTTGTTTTATTTAAATTTAGCAGTAAAATAAAAACTCAAAATAGAACACTTTTGTTTAATAAAATATCTACATTAAAATGTATATATTTTTCTTAACTATAAATATAATATAAATATAATATAATATTAAAAATATTAACAATTTTACTTTATTTTATATAAACATTGTTTGATCAATACAGTGTAACTACGTTTACATTGGATTCAAAACATTTTTAACTGGAAAATGCATAAATCGCTATCATTTAAATCAAACTATATTCATTAACAACTTATAAACGATCAAATATTATCTTAACTAGCATAAGACATAATTAATATTTTGAATGAAGTTGCATAAATATTTTACTTTTCCTCTCAATCTAATTTGACTGTAAAACTTATTGAAAACTTTCATTAATGTTATTTACGTTATTAGGTTAAAAGTCATTAGTAAATATTTTTCAAAGTATTGCTTAATTGTGGATTATTTTTAATTAATAATGATTTTTCACAATTAACTATGGCAACAGAATGGATTAATAACATAAAAAATTAAAAATTAATTAAATATATTAATTTAAATAGTGATTTTTTTATATTGAAAACTTCAAATTTTCTTGCAGCATTGATTTGTTTTTGAAAATATACGCACTCTAATATAAATACAATTATAATACTATTATCAATAACACGATTTTTATTTAATTTAATAACATTATTCCAATAATCAATAAACGTTAAAACAAAAAAAAAGTAACGTCAAGTAGGTATATAAAGAATTGGTAAAAAACTACGAGATAAAATATTAAAGACTTGACTATTTAAATATGAAATAAATGAGCTCTTAATTTGCGTTGTATATTTAACATGATAAAATAAAATACTAATGTTGAAATTTTGTGAACGAGAGAAGAACGTGAATTTATAATTTACCGATACATTTATAATTCAACGGTCATAGACGTGTCTACGAGTCGTGTATATCATGCACAGACATGAACTGCAAAATTTGACTTAAATTGTATTATCAATTAATGCTAGTTTAAACTTATGATTCTGACAAAATGACGTTTAGAATTATAGTAGAAATTATGAAAATTTGTAATTATATTCATATTTTAAGATAATAATGATTTTTTTCAAAATTTGAAGATAATATTTTATTTCCTTTTTGATAACTTTTTGATAATTCAGTATTGCATTTATATATTTATCTTGTGCTCGACCCACATATCAAAGATATGGATATGCCTATGTCAAAAATTGATTAGTATTATTAATTTCAATGATATTCATTGATTATATATTTATAAATATTATAAATACAATAATTCAAATATCAATAAAGAGTTTTAATTCGAGTTATCTCTATGAATGATAATTAATATATTTTCAGGTCATATCGTTAAATAAGTTATCTTCGGATCTTTGTTACACTGAATGTGGAGATGGCGGATGTCGATGTGTTAAGAACGCTACATCTATTGTAGATCAGCTATACATCACGTCGACTAAAGGTGATGTTCTATCATGTATTTGTGGTGACTTTCAGGTAAAATTCTTTGTTAATAATACGAGTATAGTTTAGAAATGTGTTAAATTTTCTCTGTACATTAGGCTGAATGGTTACCAGTAACTGTTAAGTCGTGGTCGCCCATCAACTTGGTGTACTCGATATCAAAATACAGCTGGTCCAACAAAGGATTTGAATACACGGCCGAGTATTCATTTAAAGACGATATAGTGTGTGGATACCGAGTGATCAATCAACATACTGGTATAATAGAATCACCTATAGTGATCAGGGAAAGCCCACTCAACTTTTACTATCATCAGGATTGTACCTGGTTACTGGATTCTAATGTTGAGCGTCATTTGACGATAGAAATAGGCAGTTCACAAAGTCGTGAGTTTCATTACAAATAAGTAAAACTAAAATATAAAATCAACCTACTTATAATAATAGTCTTAACATTTCAAATGTGTACTACTAAAATAACCTACATTAGAAATATAAACTGAACATCTTTCACTCAGAATTGATTTTTCGAAAACAATTCAATATTGATTTCAAGCTTTAAAGACCAATACAGCAATATAATTTATCCGTCCTTGTACACACTCGACCGAAAAACCTCACTCATTTTTATTTTGTATCGCACTACAAATACCCTGGTGTAAAATGGCTCTGGTGTAATATTTAATTTTATTTATTCGTTTTAACTATAAAAACTTAAATGTTGCTTACATTTTTATAAAACTGTCATTTTAAATTAAGAATTTAGCTACAAATTTATATTATTAAGACATATTACATAATTATTTTTATGCTTTTAAAACAATAAAAATTTTAAGAAATTAAAGAAAATAATTACTTGTTCTAAGAGATTTAATAGATGTAGCAAAAACTTATAATTTTAGAGACAAGTTTATTATTTAATTTAAACCGTGTATACCAATAATTTGCACATTTTTTTATAATAAAGTTTCAATATTAAATATTCTTTATATTACCCATTTAAGTAATTAAGGGAGGGTAATCTAAATTAATAAATAGTATTCTATAAGACTTTCTAAGAGTGGTTTGTACAAATAAGTTTATTTAAAACCACAATAACTAACTTCTTTTGATTTTATACATTAATTATGTTTTTATACTTTATTTTATAAAACTTAGTTATTATAACTGCAGGTTTTTATTTAATTATTCAAAGAAAGGTGTTAATAAACTCTAAGTAAACTACACATTTCAAAAATATTTAACTGATTTAATGCTATTCTTCCTATTGTGTTTCTACTTAAGTTTAAATTCAAATTTTCAAACTTAAAGTCTTAAGACAAAAGACATTACCAGAATTGGTTTTTGTTTTATTAGAGAACAATAATCCTATTATCTGATTTTATGAAGAATTAGGAGTTTTTAAAAAACTGTACATCTCTCCAAAAAGGCTAATGACTATTGAAAACAATTTAAATTTTTTTTAATTCATATGTTTTTAGTATTCTATTTTTCTCCCATATAAAGAAAAAAAGAAATTCACAAATAATATTTATAAATAAATATTTAAATTTTTTTTTTTTATATTATATAGAATTATCAATCTATAAATGTATTAGCATATATTATAATTAAATATAAAGTACAAAATTCGGATCTAAAGTAGTAATTTTCTATCTAAACGTGATTTGTAACTAGTTTATATATTTACATAGAAATTAAAACATAACTAATAAAATAAAACGAATACACACTTTATAAAAAAAACCTTACATTTATAAATAACTGAATAGTCAGACAGAGTACTAAGAAATGTTTACCACTTACCACATAGTTTTATTAAAACCTAAAATTACCAACAATTTCTTAGTAGACTTCTTAGTAGTATAACTACTGGTTGGAAAAAAAAATAATAGGTATAAAATATATATGATATAGGTCCATGTTCTGCGTGGAATATAAGTATTCACGAATATTCAGAAAGAGTTGATGATAAAGCCGGGCCAATCTTGTATACATTCTGCTCTAGAGAAAAAAATTCAACCAACACACTTCCGTGGCAAATGAACATTGTTGTCATCAAGTACGTAATTTATATCATATCCAAATATCTATTGACATCTTATGTTTTTGTTCTCTATCTGTTTAGATTAAGAGCAATGACACAGACGCCTCCTCAATATTATATTAAATGGCGATCGGACGTTGATCGAGCTCGACTATCTGGATCAACTGCCCACACTGCGGCTGCAAGTGGATCATCAAAATTGTCAATCAGTTGGACATTATTGTTTACAGGGGTCTCACTTTATATCAAGAAAATTAAAAAAAGATGAATGTTTATACTAATGTCAGTTATAGTTGTCAGTATAAGCTAGATATGTTTTATAAAAATTAATTTCAATGTGTCTAAAAAACTGTACTTACTAAAAGATAATTGTCGGTTGTGACTGTTATTTTTTAGCTATGTTGTGCCAAAGCCTTAAGCAAAATATAAAAACTAGAAATGGTTTAGGCTGCAAGTATTACAAGAAAATATAGTTTAAAGAAAAATACATTATCACCTACTTAATTATAAAAAAATTAGACATATAATTTAATGTATATACTAGCTCGTCATTTTCCGTTCATACATTCATTAGATATTTCAATATCTTGTTTTCATAGATGATTTTTTTAAATGATTTCATAAAAATAATTTTTTAATCAAATAATAAAACACAATTAATGTAGACAATGAATCAATGTAATTCATACTTTTTATTTTATTGAACACAATATTATATTGAGATAATACATACAAATTCAAATCTTAGCATCTCCAAATTCTAAACTTTTAAATTATCTCAATATTATCTATAATGGGTTTTTTTTAAATACTAAAATATTCAAAATTAAAAAAATGTAGTTAGAAAACGTTTAAAAAACGTAGTACAAATTTAATTTTCAAATAATATATACGGGAAGTGATGTGGTGCAATAGGCTGAAACCCATTAGTGGACACATTTAAGTCGAAGATAAAAACATCTAACAAATTAAAAATCCAGAAAACTACATTGGCCGCCCACAGACGATTTTTCAAAACTAGTAGTTGAAAAAAAATTTAAAAAATACTATAATTAAAAATATTTTATCATATTATTTCTTCTACAAAACCTTTTTACCCTTGAAATATATTTATAATAGCTACAACATTCGAAATAATAGTATATATATATGTGTGTGTATATAATTTAATGCATTCATTGACTCATAAAATTATAGATACAATATTTAATACAAAAATAATAATAATAACTTCAAACACCTTTTTAGTTGACATAATATTATCATATGATAATTTCATTATTAAGTATGAGATTTAAATAATGTACATATGTAAATGTACAATCAACCTACACTATATAAAAAGTAATATTGGACAATTTCAACATAAATTGTCTGAGATAAAATGTAATGAAAACATGTTAATTTAAATTATGCTCTTTGTATATGATGAAATAATAGTTGTTAAGTGTTATGTTAAATTTTTTTGTAATATGTTCAATTTGAACAGCACAATGTAAATTACCTTTCAAATTGGATACCTATTCAAATTTGATTTTTCAGAATTTTTATTCAGTAGACAGTATTAGAAGTTTATTGCAGTATAATTTCGTATAAAATGCGATTCCAGAAAAATATTTTTCTGTATACTACAATTATGAGTTATTTAAAAAATAATAGTTAAATCCTATAAGTATTAAGATCTTGTTGAAAACTTATTTTAGAAATTATTGGCTAATATGTACACTATACTATGAATAAATTGTTAAATAAATAACAATTACATTTGTACTAACTCAATGTATATAACTTATCGAAATAACTATACATGTACCTATTATATATATCTAAAAGATAAGATTGTTTAAAACATAAAATATATACCTACATGATAATAACATGTATATAAAAAAGCAATTTTAGAGTGGTTCTAATTTCTAGTACAGGGGAAATATGTGAAATTACCAAATAAAAAATAGACGTTGAATGGGCAACTGTGTCCTACGATATGAAGGCATCTTTTATATAACAGAATCTATAATATACCCAATATCCCATACCATCATACATATGGTTTTTAATATTCTCAAATAGCTTATTGATCAATTCTATAACATTTAAAAATAAATAAAAATAAAAATTCAAAGTTTATTGGAACAACTATCTTATGTCGAAAAATAACGGGCATCGAACGAGTCAATCGTCGGCTGTATAACACAAAATAATAACTACCTATTGCTAATGTTTTACTCTTTATGTTCTTAAATTATTACAATTAGCAATTTATAGTTTTATTAATAATCAATTATTTAAACTAATTTTTTTTTTTTTTCAGATGCTTTTATAAACCCATTACGTGTGATGAAACTATTTAAATAAATAAATGAAAAAAACAATGTATAAATTCATTGGCGGGATCCAATGTCGAATTAAATACTAAAATGTAAAAGATCGATTTATAATCAATAATTATTTAAAACCATTGCGCCACATAAGTTTATTGCACACATCTTAATAATATTTTATAAATTAGACTAGAACTACATAATATTTAATCACTTTTTATGTGTAAAGCTTACATGGTATTTCGCATATTGATTAAATCAATATCAATTTTTGCGAAAAATACTTATTTTTAAACGCACTATAAAAATTACTATTACAGCAGATGAATAGAGTGGATCCTATACGCTGCGGTAGTAATGGTTAACAATGAACGAACGCTATGTGTAAATTTTATTTTGAATTCTGTTTTATTCGTACCAATAGTAATATTATAACATGAATAAATAAAAATATTGATAATTTGTAATAAATAACATTAGAAATTAAAAGCGATTTCTTAGTTGGCGTTTACATAAGAATGTCTTACCGATAACGTTCACGTGTAAACCAAATATATTTCATTTCTAACAAAATATATTAAATAAATAATAATAAATAATTCACAGTAAATAAATGAAGACCCGTGTACCGGTAACGTTGACAAATCGAACCGAATGTTCAATCATTAACAAAAAATCTATAGAATTAATAACGTAACGATAGTTTCATAAAATCAATTACGGGACAAATGAAAATTAATACGAATTCCAAGCGCTATCTAGTGTAAACAGTTTACGAATTAACCAAAGTGGTTTTAAAAATCAGATAATAGACAGCGTTTTAACCGTTGTAATTTTTCGTACGTTCCTCTCTTGGGTAGAGTAGTAAGTGGTAGAATCTGAATTTAAGAATACACGGTTTCGATCATAACCGTACATGTGTTAGTTTTCTATTTATAATAATTTAACAGTGGTCGCACGTTTGAATACGTCCGTTAACCGATAACGTGTAATGTTCCTTTGAACTATTCCCGTTTCGATTTCGGTTTCGGCGAGGGTTTAAAAACGCATCGATAAAAACATTTGGACATTTTGTAAATAACGTAGAGTGCAATGAACACGGTCGATAAGACCGCGGCGAACACGTCCAGTAAATAGTATTGGTACCACGTCAGATTAAATGCTTGCGATTTCAAATGCGGTGCTCCTTTGTGACGGATAACGTACTCCGTCCAGTACACAACGGATTCGGCCGGTGACATCGGCCGGTCCTTGAACCGTTCGGACGTTATTTTCGCGTTTCGCGAATACCTGCGCACGAATAAACCGAATTAGACATTCCGTCCGAGACACCCATTTCCGTTCGAAATAAACCCCGGCAGTGGCGTAGCCAGGATTTTTTTTTTTTTTGAGGGTTGGGGCTGATTAATTTTTACACAGCGGGTGGTTTATAGGTTCTTCCATACGTTTAAAAAGTGGATGCCAAGGTTATATTTTAGATTTTGGTTCCTATAACCCTTAACATTGTATACACTTTAAATACTTTGGATATTGTATTACTTATTTATATTATACGTAATACGTAAGTATTACTTATTAAAAAAAAAAAAAATTATAAAAATATCAATGATTTTTTTTAATAAGACATAATATAAGTGACAAACATTTGATATAATAAAACGAACCCCTACTTGATAAACATGAATATAATATGATGAATTCGAATAATTAACAATACCTATTTAATTGCTTTTTAATATTTTTAATTGATTTTAATACTAAATGACAAAACATTTAAGTGACAATATTAACCTTTGAGACTTTCCGCTGTTAATAAATGTATCAAATATAGGATCATCTGAAATTTCAATGTCTCTACGAATAGTTAATAAGCGAGCCGACAAGTCTTGACTCTGAAATTGAATTCGTGATTCACGATTCGCGACCAATGCACAATATTATATGTATTAAATACCTACTACCACACATAACTGTAAAGTGCTTATATTAAGATGTTTAAATATTTTTAATTCTTTAGCGATTTTTATAGACCATTAATATAGTTATCTTAACATTTCGTGGGGGTTATGCAACACCCTCACAGCTCCTCCCTTGGCTATGCCACTGAACCGCGATGATTTTTACGAACAGGTACTCACGTCTCATCGTTAATGATCGTGTTAATGGCATTCAAAAGGGTGTCCTTGTCCACCGACATCAGGTCCAACGAAATCGCCATGCCCGCGTCCACTAGGTTTGCGATGTTCCTCGGTTGGTCGTAAAACAACGGGAATCCTAGGACCGGAACACCAGCGTCCACCGTCTCGTACACCCCCGATATCCCTCCGTGGCAAATGAACAGCTTGACGTTCGGGTGCACTTTAACACGAACGCAACTGATTAGGTCCGCCGGCGCACGGTTGAATTAGTTACCAATATCTTACCGAGTATGTCTCGTTGCGGGAGCCATTTTCTTGTCATCACATTTTCCGGCTTGTCCGTCATTTCCCCCTCGTGTTTTAGCAAAATTCTTTGAGGAACTTCGGCCAATGCGTCTTTGAACGCTTTTTGAATATGGTCCGGTAGTGTCGAGATCGCAACGACTGTGCCGAATGTAAATAAAATTACTCCGTGTGGCGCACCTTCGATAAATTCTAAAATATCCTGTAAACAATTTTTTAAAAAGTATTATAGTGTTGTTGGTAAAAAAATGCATAGACATCTCTTCACGATTGAATTTTCTTCTTCATACATAGTGTTTTATTTAAACGACTATTTAAAAAACATTTTGTTCTAATAAATTATTATTATTGGGATGAATTTTTCAAAATTATTCAATTTTATTACTTTAAAAATCGTAAAAATTGTACTACAAAAGTACATAAAAAAATGTGTTCATTATTGTTTAAAAATTATATTATAAAAATCATATAACCAAACATATTTAATTCTATTTATTCAACGTAATAATAACAAAATAGGTCCTAATTTTTTTAATATTTACATTTTATTTATCTTTGTGTAAATTTAATTTTTATCTTAACTTGTTGTTATGATCGTCGTTAGGCTGTTGTAAATAGAAAATTTTTTTTAGAATATTTTGTTATACTTTTGATAAAATAGGTACATTGGACAATGTATTCGTATTTATTAGTTTATCCATTTATTAGATTACATACCAAACGTACAAGTTAGGGAATTGCTCCCCTGACCATAGCAAATAAATATATTAATTTTAAATGACATTTTTATCTGATACATATATGACCTAATATTTAAACAGCTTATAATTTTTCAAATTTTTATTTTTCAATATATTTTCTAAAAATGATATTCTGAGTATTCAAATAAATGAAAATTTCCTACCTAATAACACAGTTTCTTAATTTTTATTTAACAGTACAATTTTAAATGAATATTTTTAATATATCATGTTTTATTTTATGTATTTACATTGTAAGTTATAATAAAGAATCATAAAATAAGATTAAAAATTTGACAATATTTCAACATGAATTCCTTAAATATACATAATGATGATTTTATAACTTCAAAAATACAGTTTTTTGCATTTATTCGCGTGTTTTAAATTATTGATCAATATACGAATGTATAATCAAATAAAATAAACAAAAATTAATCAAATACATTTTACATATTGAATCGAATACAAATTAATTAAACACACCGCATAAGTATATAATACTTTACGGATTTTAAGCCTATAGTTATTCTTTTTTATGCATCAATTTGCCAAAACCGTACTGAGCTGTATAAAAATACATTAATACCGACCGTGCAGTCATATATTTAAATTTGCTATTCAAGCAGTGTTTTTTTTTCCCCCCACTCGACGACCCGATGACAACTTTCTGACCGACATTTCCACTTAGAGATCAACGGGAGATGACTAAAAGTGTACTACTTATTCCTTTTTTCAATATCGTATTGTATGTATTTTTTATAACATTATAAAATTACTTATTTTTTAGAAAAATCTTAAACCTCATATAAGAAAATTTGAAAATACGTAAATACGTACGATCAGTACACTAATATTTAGAACATGAGAATCGTCGAAGATGATTATAGAAATTGAATTAATATTAACAATAATATTAAAAATGATTGGTCTGTACCAGATCCAGGGAAAATTACATAATTCCAATCATAATGCGTTGAAATTAACTTTCAGGAACGGACGTACCGTGTACGCTGTTAACTTTGATTTCGCAGAGCACGTCCAGGCCACAGACAATTATTTACAATTTATTATGCAACAAGTGGCATGAAAAATTTAATATTTTAGGCCGTGCCCGTAGGCAAACCATAGATTTGGCGACTGCTACGCGTAAAACAACGATCATCATTGACGATCGGGTCTCGGATTCGATCGTGTGCTCTTTTCGCGATGTGATTGATCGCAATGCGATACTCTGCCGCAATGGTCGTGAATGGTCTACGACATTCCGAAAACTGTTGAACGCATCGGACCGCGTGGCGTTTTAAAAACTCGCTGGTTGCGAGGAATTTTCATTTCCCGCTGCCATCTCGATCGTAAAGGCATTCCAATCGCATTTATCGTATTTATTCACCGTGCTTGTCCAACGGTCGAACAACGATATAATAGTATATTAGTCCCCACGTGTTTGTGATGTAAACAAACTGCGCGTGTTCGATCGTTTTTTTAGTTTTAATGAGGTCTAAGTTTTCCACCAGCAGTAACAATGCAATTTCAAAGGTCGCACGAACACTGTACGTCACGTTATCGCGACCGATAACGTTCTATTTCGGAAATACGTTTTCGCACCAAATTTTCCTGTAGTAAGACTGGCTCCTTATTTCACGTACGCACGCTTTCACGTGTTCTCATGAAGTTTAAGTTCTATTTTTAAAAACACGTTACTTAAGATTGTCAGCGAATTTATGTTGTTCACGCGTACCCGTGAATTTGTGTGTTCACGTATTTCCTTCGCCTTATGGTTTTTGTAACGAAGTGGCGTCGTTTCAGTTTATTCTAGAATACGCTCTTATAAAATGCCATCTAGAAGGCCCATTTTACCAAAATTCCGATTAAAGTGGGGGAGGGGAGGAGGAGACGTCAAACCGGTCCGAAAAAAGTAAATGATTACCCGTAATGGTACACGTCTCATTTTTCTGACTTATAACATGTCGATTTATAGAAGATGTATCTATATTTTGTCGATATGCCGACTTTGGAATACCTAAACTCCTGACTGTGGCTAATGCATAAGTTGCTCCTGTTGTAATGCAATACATTCCAGAAATCATGAGTGGAAAATTATTCACGAGGTTACGACTTCGATACGTGTTCACGTGTTTTAGCATTTATTAATTCACGTATATTAATCATACGTGCTTTATTTTATTACATTTACGTGTTTAAGATATGTGTGAACACATATTTTATTTATTTATTTATGATTGCATTCACGTAAAAAGTAATACTACTAATATAAAAACCTCGACCGAGTTAAACTCGTTTTTATTTCCTTATGCAGTGAGAAAAACTAATGATTTCTGTACGATATTAATAAATAAAAAAAAAAAATAGGCCAGAAAAATGTAATCATTACGATCAATATATTGCATTATCATTCAATAATTAAATTAATGAACAACAGTTTGCTAGGCATACCTAGATAATTACTATCGGTCGGTTAAATAAAAGAACGTGACTTAATCAAAAACAGGTAATGCGCAATTGTGTTAAATCTGATCTATTCTCCAACATAAATTACTAACGTGATAAATTATTGAACGAAAAGCGGAATCAAGCTGACCACCATACGATATTGACAAATTTTTACTAAGTTACATTAAGTACTATTTTCAATTTGAAAAAAAACTTAATAAAACATCTGTTATGGAATTTTCGAAGTCATATTTTCCCACTTTATTCTTTATAACGTGGAAAATATATTTTCTGATGGAGGGTAGATTTACGTGACAATACAATTTTTTATTTTTTATTCACTTTTAAGTAGGGATAAAATATAAGTACCCTGATTCTAATCGGTATCACGTCCCAAGAGGGAAGGAAGAAATCATTCGAAAGTCGATCTATATTTAAAATTTAAAGGGTTTTTTTTTATTATTAATCGCCTGTCCATGGCGTTTTTATGGGGGATGGGTATTAGGTCCAAACCTCCCCCCTCCATTGACCATATAAATCCCTATCTCAACATGTAATATGCATATTAATTTATTCAATGTTAGTATAAGGTGTAACCATATTAAGTGTTTTTTTTTTTACATAATTGAGAAAAGAAAATGTAAGGTATCATATTTTTTTTGCATAGTTGCCATTTGCCAGTTGGAAATCGATAAGGTTCTTTTAGAGTCTTTTATTATCTTGGGCTGTTAAAATGTTGAGTGCCTCAGTATAATCGACATATAATAACTATATCTAAACTAACGCAAGACGGATATTTTTACAATCCATACTCATTATTTATTATTTTATGAACGATAAATAAAATAAATCGTTATGTTGAACATATGTATGACATATTATAAAATACAACTAACTTTTATTTTTAAATAAATTAGTTTTTGTAGAAGTACAAGCGAAATAGAATACGTAAATAAATTCGTATTTAAGAGTTATGAATAATTATAATGCACGTAGTTATATACACGAGTTTAGAATATTAAAATATTTTAAATACAATTTATTGCTATTTATTTTAATAAACAATACCCCTATATGTTTCGAAAAATATAGCTATTTATAAAGGAACTTTACTAAATTACTAAATTTCAAAACGTTGTAGTAATATTTTAAGACCTTATTTCAAAAGTCTAGTATACAAGAAGCATAGTACACGTTGCAAATATTTAAAAAAAAGTATAATTCAAAAAAATTAAATTAAATTAAATTCATCAAAATCGTTTTTTTCAATAATCTGGTCGTAAGCTAGCATTTTAGCGGAGTATTTTGTGAACCACTATTGACGGCAGCCAAGTCGGATGTAATTTTAGAATCTTGGAAAACAGTTTATAGTTAATTTTCATTATTATTATTATTATTATTATACCATAATTAATATTTCTGAAAAAATATGTTATATAATGTATTGATATTTAGTAATAGGTAATAACATATTGTGATAACACTCAATTATTAACTTATTATTATGTAGATGAGGCTAAATGAAAAAGCAATGATTTCTGTCCGTTCGGACATACATTTTAGTTGTTGAAGAAAATATCAGTAAATTGGCATTAAGTGCTGATAAATTGAACATTGTATTATATAAATGTTGTTTTATATGATCAAAAATAAATTAGTATTAACATCAAAATCATTTTATTTTAACATATTGTGATAAATTTAGTTTCCATTTAAGTATAATGTTGGGGAATATGAGAGGCGAATCCCCCTACTTAAATGTGTTTGGCAAATTAACTGGACCCCATATAAAATTATTAAATACGCTACTGTTGTCTATTAGGTATCATTTAGCACTATGTTTTTACAGTGTATTATTTTACTCAAAGCTACACTAGAATATACTTCAACAGATTCGGATGATGACCGAAAACGTAATAAAGTTTCAAAAACTTTACTGAAAGCAACTGCGTCCTCACTTTTCTTGGCCAACGGTTTTATAAATATCGAAAACAACAATTTAAAATCC